TATAATATTTTGATTATTTTTAAGTTGTTATTTAATTTTAATAAAATATAAATATAAATATTTATATTTATATGTGTGTGTTTGAGAAGAAAAAAAAAAAATATATATATATATAATAAATTATTAGAAAAGTTAAATTATTAAAATAATAGAAAGATGTGACGTACTGCTATATGATCAGAGGCTACGTATAAGCCTTGTCAATAAGAATCAAAATTATGTAACAAGAAGTTGGAGTTCTAAGTAATGGAAAGAAAAAAAAAAATTAGTTAGAAGTGAACAATGAGTAACCATTACTCACATGTCTATAAATATGCTTAAAGATCATCTGAAGGGGAAAACGTGAAGTAAAATAACAAAGTGAGAATTGAGAAGTACAATGGGAAATAAAAGAGTAGAACATTCGGGCAATAGTTCTAAATGTTACTAAGGGACGAGACTTTTATCTCTTATAAATATTTTATTTTTTATATGGTTATATTTATTTTATATTTGTCTATATTTAATTAGTGATGTGTCTTTAACTTCATTTTACTTGCTTAATTTATGATATTTTTAACTTCAAATAACCCACAAGGTGTTCCTAATTTATTTGGTTTAATTATTATATGATATTTATAACTATTTAAGTAGTTGAATGTTTTTAATCTCTTGTTTAATCTATGATATTTATAACTGTCGTTTAACTAGTTTAATACCCTTAACCTCCCCTTATTTTTGTAAACTATATTATACTAAATTCTAAATAATTAAAATATTCTAAATCATTTAGTTTAATTATTTTTATATTATTTCTAACTATAATCTAGTTTAGTTAATCTTCCTAAGCTCCTCTTATTATTATATCATCATTCTTTATAAAGATAAATGTTAATCTATGGTCATAAGAAAAATAAAGGTTTGAATTAATTTGTAGTTGGAGGTTTCGTTTTGTGATTTAAATGAGTAAAATTTTAAGGTGAAATATCCTTGTGTTATTTGAGATTATGATAATGTTCCCTTATCTTGACTAGTCACTATAAGAATAATTCAAATTTCACTGACATAAAAATCTAAAATATATAATTAATACATGTTGGAGAGAATTCTGTATATTACATTTATTTATTTGTATTTATTGGATTGTTAGCCACTTACCCTCGTATAACTT